CAAGGCCCTGCCACCCCCATGGCCCACCCCCCCAATCAAGCCCCCACTGCCACCCTGACCAGCCAGGTGCTGGGAAAGGCGGGCGGCGGGGCGCTGGAGGCCTTCCCCGGGCTCTGTGCCTTGGTGTGGGTGGGGGAGGGGGCTCTGCAATTTACCTGGCTGCTTCTTGCACCTTGTGGCCTGGGGCTGCTGGGAGCCGGGGGTGGGGCTTGTTGCATGTGCTGGGCTTTTTACTGCCGGAGCTCCGCTCCTGTGCGGTCCTGCAGGAAATGACCCCTGTGTATGTCCATGTGATTTCACAGAAATGTGTTAATATTTCTCAAATGAAAAATTGAATAGACTTTTTGTAATTATATCATGGTTGTTATTGTTTATTTCTCATTTACCAGTCCCGTGACCTCCCTGGCTACTTTAACCACCTGGAGGTTGGCAACCCTATGCTAGGTGCCACAAGCAATGAGGCCCTGTCCCCAGTAGACCCCTGCCTCACCCCTAGACTTGGAAGTGCCTGAGAAGAATGCAACTGACAGGCAGCTTCATTATAGCGCTCAGATAGGGCTACTGACTCTGGATAGGGAAGTTCCTTCAGGTTTGGTGGTGGATCTTGAGGAAAATCCAGAGAGTCTACCCTCCAAAGCAGCCATTTTCTCCACAAGGACTGATCTCTGTCATCTGGAGATCTCCAGCCCCCCTCCAGAGGTTGGCAACCCTACACTCAGAACAGCACAGAAGGACCAGATGTTGCACACTGGCTGGCTCTTGCTTGTGCGAACCCCACTCCTCTGTGGGTGCGAGTCAGACTGTGCAACCAAGAGGCTGTAGATCGGGAGGCACTCGACTCTTTTGAGCCTGCAGTGGGCACAGTCACAGAATGGCCACCGCAAAATGGCTGCCACCGGAGGCAGAGCCAGTCACAAAATGGCTGCCTCCGCTGACCTTCAGTCACACAGTGAAGATCCCAATGCTGATGTGGCAGCTGCTGCCAAAGCAATGGGTTTTTTTTTTAAAGTCTGTGCAGCCTATTGAATTTCCAGTAGCCCATCAGAAGCCTTGCTGGACAAAAGCCGCACCCGGCCGTTCCCCCTTTCTAAAACACCTGCCAGGTGCCAGGAAAGGTGTTGGTGGCGCCTGTCGTGACTTGTGAGGAGCAGCCATCTTGGAGTGTGGTTTCCTGTTGGACTACAAACCCATTCCTGGTCCCTTAAAGTGTAGCCCGGGCTCCTGGTGTTCCAGCCTTGTGAGGGATGGAGCCAAGAAGAAGAAGGGATTGGATTTATACCCCGCCCTCCACTACCCAAGGGAGTCTCAGAGCGGTTTGCAAACTCCTTTCCCCTCCCCACAACAAGCACCCTGTGAGGTAGGTGGGGCTGAGAGAGCTCTGACAGAAACTGCTCTTTTTCAAGGACAGCTCTTATGAGAACTACAGCTTGCCCAAGGTCATCCAGCAGGTGCAAGGGGAGGAGCGGGGAATCAAACCCGGCTCTCCCAGATTAGACTCCGCGCACTTAACCACGACACCAAACTGGCTCTCCAACACTGTCTGATCCTGGCCACATCCGATCACGACACTTGATACGTTAATGCACGAATTATCGCAAAAGCGTTCTCCTCAGCTTGTCAGGACTGTGTTTCAGGAGGTCTCCGCCGGCACACCGTGGCCTCCCGGTGTCGAACTCACCCAGACGGCTCCGCCGTGGCCCTCCCTGTCGGATGAGGAGAGGCAACGAGCAGCGGTCCCTGATCATTTCGCATGACATCAGCTTGGGTGGGTGGG